TTGCTTTGCTTTGCTTTGCTTTGCTTTGCTTTGCTTTGCTTTGCTTTGTGTTAATCTTGTATCCAGCCACTTTGCTGAAAGTGTTTATCATCTGTAGAAGTTCCCTAGTGGAATTTTTGAGTCATTTATGTATATACTGTCATATCATCTGCAAATAATGATACTTTGACTTCTTCCTTTCAACTTGTATTCCCCTGATCTCCTTCAGTTGTCTTATTGTTGTGTCTAAAACTTCAAGTACTATATTGAATAGATATGGAGAGAGTGAACAACCCTGTCTTATTTCTCAATTAGTGAGGTTACTTTGCCTTTTTCTCCATTTAATTTGATGTTGACTATACGCTAGCTGTAAATCTGTAATTTGCCTTTATTATGTTTAGTTTGTCCTTTGTATCCCTAATCTCTCCAGGACTTTTATTATGAAGGGGTGTTGGATTTTGTCAAAGGCCTTTTCTTCATCTAATGAGATGATCATGTGGGTTTTTTTTTCTTTCATTTTGTTTATATGGTGGATTACGTTGACAGATTTTCATATATTGAACCATCCCTGCATCTTTGAGATGAAGCCTACTTGATCTTGGTGGATGATCTTTTTGATGTGATCTTGGATTCAGTTAGCAAGTATTTTATTGAGTATTTTTGCATTTATGTTCATAAGGGAAATTGGTCTGTAATTTTTCTTTGATGAGTCTTTATGTGGCTTGGGTATCAACATAACTGTGGCCTTATAAAATGAATTGAGCAATATTCCTTCTGTTTCTCTGTGGAATAATTTGAGGTGTATTGGTGTCAACTCTTCTTTCAAAGTCTGGTAGAATTCTGTGCTAAACTCATCTGAGATCTCTCCAGTCTTTTTATGTAGGTACTCTGTGCTATGTACTTCCTTTTAGCATCACTTTCATTTTGTACCATAAGTTTGACTCTGCAGTGCATTTATTTTCATTGACTTCTAGACGGTCTTTAATTTCTTTCCTATTTCTATCTTGATACAGTTTTCATTCAGTAGAGAGTTGATCAGTTTCCATGAGTTTGTAAGATTTCTGTTGTTTCTGCTGCTGCTGATATCCAGCTTTAATATGTGGTGGTCTTATAGGATGTAGGAAGTTATTTCAGTTTTCATGTATCTGTGAGATTTGCTTTGTGTTGTAGTTTATGGTCAATTTTGGAATGTCCGTGAGGTACTAAGAAGGTGTATTCTTTGTGTTTGGGTGAAACGATCTGTAAATACCTGTTAGGTCCATTTGGTTCAAAGCATCTATTAGTTTCAGTGTTTCTCTGTTTAGTTTTTGTCTGGATGCCGTGTTCATTAGTAAGAGTGGCATGTGTAAGAGATAAAGTCTCCATATCCGTGTGTGATTTAAGCTGTAGTAGTGTTTCATTTACAAAAGTGGGTGGCCTTGTGTTTAGGGTATAGATGTTAAGAATTAAAATTGGTGAATTTTTCCTTTGTTAACTATGTATTGTCCTTCCCCATCTCTTGGTTAGTTTTAGTTTGAAGTCTATTTTGTTGGATATTAAAATGGCTACATCAGCTTGCTTCTTAGGTTCATTTGCTTAGACTATCTTTTTCCTACCTTTTACCCGGAGGTAATATCTATCCTGGATGTTGAAGTATGTTTCTTGGATGGAGAAGAAAGGTAGATTTTGTTTTCTAATCTGTTCTGTTAGCCTGTGATTTTTTATTAGAAAATTGAGGCTGTTGGTATTAAGAGATATCAATAACCAGTAATTGTTGTATTCTGTTATTTTGGTGGTGGTGGTGGTATAATGTGTGTATATGTATGTGTGTTTGTGTTTTCCTGGCTTTCTTTAAGGGATTTATTAATTTCCTCTTTAAGGACTTCTATCATCTTCACATAGTTAGTTTTAAGGTCTTTTTCTAGGATTCCACCATATTGGAATATTCAGAACCTGCTATGATAGGACGGTTGGGCTCTAGTAGAGACATGCTGTCCTGGGTGTTATTGACTGTGTTCTTACAGTGGCACCTAAGCATCTGGGTTTGAAGTGATCATAGGTCTAGGTGCTGGTTTCTGGATTTGTCTTAGTTGGGTGGGTGTTTTGTCCTTGGTTTCTGTTTCTTCTCTGTATTTTCAAAGAGCATAATTTAGACTGTGTGTTGCCTGTTTTACTGGCCTGCTCAGTTGAATGCCTGCTGGTGTTGGAGGCTGTCATGCATCAACTGGTGTGTGTGTGTGTGTGTGTGTGTGTGTGTGTGTGTGTGTGTGTGTGTTTGTGTGTGTGTGTGTGTGTGTGTAGGGAGGTCAGGAAGTGATCCTTCTTGGGGGTTCATGGGATCCATAAGAGACACAGGCAGTGGGGAAGAGAGCCTGCAGCTACTGATCTGTTGCAGTGCTAGGGACAAGCCTGAGGCATTGGGTCTGGGGAACAGAGAAGGCCTGTGCTTAGGCTCTACATGCCATATATTTGATATTATGTCTTTATACCAATTCTCTGCTTTCTTCTTACTTATATATTACATTTTTTCCTGTTATAAAAATTTGTTACATATTATTGTGCTATTTCTTTCAGTAATTGCTGGGTCTTTTGTTGTTGTTGGTTTTTTTGTTTTGTTTTGTTTTTTGGGTTTTTTGTTGTTGTTGTTGTTGTTGTTTTTGTTTGGTTTGATTTGGTTTGGTTTGGTTTGGTTTGGTTTGATTTGGTTTAGCAGACAGGAAAAGCTTTTCCTTGGCTTTTCTAATTTTCACCAGTGGAAGATTTTTGGAAGCAAGCTAGTCTGCAATTGCAAAATCAGATTTTAAAATTAAAAACAAACCTTGAATGGCTGGTAACATTATTCAGTAGTAGAACACTTGCCTAGTATGTACAGGGCCCTGAGTTCATTCCCCAGCATTGCTCAGAAAACCTCTAATGAGAACCAACACCCAGGCTCACCTCTGTTGTTTAATACACATAGGTAGTCAGCAGCATATTGGTGTTTGAAATAGAGCATCTGCTATTTTTCATATTTCCTTCACATATTGTCTTTCTATAAGAAACAAACTTTGTGTGTCTGCCATGAACCTTGAAAAACTCAATCTGCTGTACATGTTCAGTCACCAAATAATTCATAACTAGATTAAATAGTGGTACCCAGAAAACACATAAATCAGTTTCCATTCAAGAGTCAGATGCATACAAAGTGTATGTTCTGCTGTGTTTCAGAGTGAGACAATAAGTGGTGTATGTGCTTGACAATGTGCATAAAAATTGGCTTTTGAGGACGTTTTAGAAGTTTCTTAGCCACCAGATGTGTGTAGTGAATAATACAGGTTATTAGATATAGTTAGTAATTGAACTCTTGCAGATTGAGGAAGCTCGGTGCAAGCAGAAAGACCTGAGTTTGGATCCCAAGTACTCACGTAAAAGCTCTACTGAAACCTCAGCATAGGGAGAGTGGGAAGGGACACATTGGTTCTGAAAGCTTTCTGGCCAGCCAGTCAGTTTAGTGAGAGACTCTGTATGAAAACATTGAGGTTCCAGAAAACAGTAGACAGAGATACCTAAAGTTGACTTCTGTCTGCCATACATGTGCACCACAGGTGAAGACACACACATACCAAAAGAAAGGGAGGAAGTCCAAAAAAAAAAAAAAAAAAAAAAAAAACAAGAACAAAAACTCCCCTGTGTCTTTTTGATGTTTAATGTGATTGAAGGCTCTCAGGGCATCCTAAAAATCAAGCTGTTTAAAAAGTTATGCCTGTTCCTACATGACTGTAGGAATTCTGAGTAGCTGAAATGAACAGTAGACATTTGGATGCTGAAGCCGAGTAAGATGCACATTCAACTCTCCTTTGAATATTTCTCTTCAGCAGTTCAGCTTTATTGTTCTTATTGGCTTCATACATTGTAGTTTATATATTTGTATTATAAATACTATAATAAATATATAATGAAAATATTGGTTTGACCTTCTAAGATTCATACTGATCAAATGCTGATTTTCTGTTTTATCTATTTTTTGTATGAGATTAAATTAGAAAAATGATGTTGCCACATAAAATTCAAAATTCAAAGATCATTAATACCCATAAGCACCTGTCCTTAGGAAAACAGGTTTGCCTAAGTTGCACAAATTGCAGTCACACTTTGTTTGGTTTTGGTTCTCATCCAGCCGGACTCTCGATGCTTATCAAATTGATTTAATCCAAGCCTGCCTATAGGCTGCAGCTGAATCGGAAGGTGGAACTGTCACTCCTCGGCAACGTTTAATTGTCTTCCCGTGCCTTTTGTCACTTGCAGAACTGAATTACTTCTCAGGTAAGATTTTCTTTCCTTCTTCACTGTTCGGTGAGGATAAGACAAACGAGGGAAGGGGAGGAAAAGCTGCCGTGGGGACACGTGTGGGAACTGCACACATCTTAGCCCCGCTTCACTTGCACTGGTTTTAGAATTGTGCTTGCAGGTTTGTTTTGCAGATTTTATAGACTATGCTTGTATTTCTTATCTACTTGAACTCTCATAAATCTTGAGGGTAATCAAACTCCCAAGGTGTCATTTACTTGTAATTAAGTAGTTAAGAGGCAGATGTGTTTAATGGCTGATTCAGGAGTCAGGCTGGATGCGAACCAAGTGTAATTACAATTTGTGCAACTTAGGCAAACCTGTTCATTTCCCACTGGTGAACTGTTAAGTGTGGCCAGTAGCTTCACAGTCAGGGTCCACATTTAACATTTTGTATAAAGCCCCATCTAACTTTGTTTCTGATACATTGTAAATGTCAGAAAACCTTCACAAATGCACTTACTGTGCTGTGGTAGTTCCTGAGACGAGGCTAGAGTGACATTAACTGGTGAACTAAAATAAGTCTGTGTAAAAAGGTGACTGATACCTAGTCAACACATTTGGTGTCAGGGATGGTTCCCACTTTCATAGGCCTTTTCATTTTTGCTTTAAAAAAAAAAACAATTAAGACTTTTGGTTAAACATGAAATTTTGAGTGCTGGTGTTTATTCCTTCTTCCTCTCTAAATTCATAGAAATGACAGTAAAACTAATATAGACATAAACAAAGGTAGTAAAGGGACGGCAGATCCTAAGACTAGAGCAGTGACAGAAACGTTAGAGGAAAGGGAAACCTACAGGAAATTAGCAAAGCTGTCTCGATGGAGTATGTTTGGTCAGGATACAGAACTAGAGCTTCTCAGCCCCTTATACTGGACGTTATATAATTGACTGTCTATACAACACTTTATCACAATTTACTTAACTCCGTGAGTGTCCGCTTGGGTTCCCCAGCACTTTGGCTATTGTAAACTGCATCCTTTACAGAATTTTTTTTGTAATTTTTGTTTGTTTTAGAATCAATTCTTCAAGCTAAGACAAAGTGATTGCTTTTTATAGGTATCGTCCCACGCTATCAGATGGCTTTCAGATGTATAGGATTTTCCATCATACTGACTCCTAAGTGGCATTGCATTTGCCTTAATTAAGATGAGCAGTCCAGGGAAAGACATTGAGTGCTTGCACTAAGTTTTAAGCTTAGCTGACTACCTAACTAGTGTCCACTTGAGAAAATGACTGTCGGCTGGGGAAATGAGGATGTTTACTGTGCAAAGATGAAGATCTGAGTTCAAATCTCCAGCACCCACATAAAAGTCAGGTGTGGCCAGACTGCCCATATCTCTAACATAGGGGGATAGAGACAGCAGGATCTCTGGAGCTGCTTGACTGGCCAGCCTAGCCAAAGAATGAGCTTCATGCTCAGTGGCAGACCATCTCAAGGAAACAAGGCAAAAAAGTAATATGGGAAAGCACCGGGTGTCCCCTTCTGGCTTCTCCATGCATGTGCATAGGTACATATACCTACATTCATGTATGTATGTATACATACATACATACATACATACATACATACACTGTTTCAAACACATACCACCACACATTTTCTTTAAAAGGTGACAACAGGTAATATGAAGCAAGAGATTTCCTTTTCCTTGGATACGGACTGAGGCTTCATGTGGGAAACACAATTGAGCTGAGTCTAAGGTGGGAAATATTCACAGAGGACACTGCACCATCTCAGGAGGGATATGTGAGTCCTAATTAAATCAGGAGACAGAAACCACACATTATGTTGGCCAGCCCAGTGCTGGTGTAAGTGGTGCTCTATAGAGACTCAGCCCTAGAGCAGTGTTTTCCACTCTGGCATCCTTGTCTTTTTGAACCTTTACTGTGGGTCTTGATGCTTAGCAGCATCCTTGTCCTCCAGTCGCTCCATTCCGGGAGTTCTTAGTTCTACCAGTGGAAAAAAGCTCCTGTGATTGCGATTTATCTTTTGCTGACAAAGTCTTCTCCAGTTGGAGGCAGCTGCAGTTGGGGGATTTCACAGTTGACCAACTCAGGGGGAGGAAGCACAGGCTGACAAGAGCCTGCAAGGAAGCCTCCACTGGGCCTCTCCAGTCTCTTCCACCAAGAGCTCAACATGGCCTCCCCTCACAAAAGAAAAGTTTTAGAAGCCTGGGTCAGAGCTGTGAATGGCAGGATGAGAGTGGGGCTAGAACTGGGAGGTGGGAGGCAGTCAGCTGGTCATCAGCTGGTCATTGAAACCGGGGGTGGGGGGGTGCATTCCAGAAGCAACTGAGGGATAACACTTGGAGCAGAGTGACAGGAGCAGAGGAACAGCGGGCACTAAGGAAAGGACAGGCTAGACCAAGGGCCAGGTTGGTGTGAAGGAGCTAGAACGGTGATTCCCGGTCTTCCACAGGGGCCACATATCGGATATTTACAACTCACAACAGGAGCAAAATTACAGTTGTGAAGTAGCATCTAAATCATGTTATGGATGGGGGTCACCACAGTGTGAGGTCACAGCATTAGGAAAGTTGAAAACCACTGGGTTAGAAAGTTAGAGTTTTGAAGTGTTTAAGACTTAGTCTTCAGGCAGAACAGAGTATCATTAAAATAGTGTCAGGGATTGCCTTTTATCTGGCCTCAGTGGGAGAGGATGCACCTAGCCTCACAGAGACTTGATGTGCCAGGGTCGGGGGATACCTAGAGGGGCCCCACCCACTCAGAGAAGAACGGGGAGACAGATGGAGTAGGGAGTGGAGGGGTGACCAGGAGGGAGGCAGTCCACAGGATGTAAAGTGAATAAGTAAAAACAATAATGATGAAAATTTTTTAAAAAAAGACTTAGTGCCCACAGATGGACCAAAGAAGGCAATGGAGGGATTACTTAATTCAGGGTCACCAGTTTGTATGTATGAAGTTATTCAGAGAATTATTCATGCTTGCTGCCTCATGTCCTAAGTATTGTCTGCCTACCTCTTTCATAATTCAATGATGTAGTGTTTCCATTACACAAAACAATGTGCTTACAGAAGTTTTAAAGAAGAGGATGACTAGACTGAGCATATAGGAGCTCAGTGGCCTTCCATCCAGGGAGAGCTGAGCCTTTCACCAGCCATTGCCAGTTGAAGGTGGAGGGCCCCTGTCAGGTGGGACACCAGGCCATCAGAGAGCTCCAGACTAGGGAGATGGACATCATCCAAGTGCACTGTTACTCCCAACTGGAGACAGGGAGGACAAGAATGCTAATCTGACTTTGATTTCTGCTCCTTTCTGGTCTTTTCGTTCTTGACCATGTGACTGCATGTTCCGTGGGAATCCCCCTTTTTTGTCTTTTAGTCTTGTAATGCAGATAGCTGAATAGTCATGTATCTTTGACACGCTCTGTGGCATTTTCTTCTGTAGGGATGATATTTAGAAAACAGCAGCCCGGTCCTGCTTGTTCCTGGGCAGCCACCATGTTCCCACTGCTCCCCGGCTCTGACCAGGACTCCAGCTAGCTAGATGCACAGGCCATGGCACCCACGAGACGCCAGCGTGGAGGATGGCTCTGCCAATCCCCCACACTGCATCCACAGAGCTCGGCTGAACTCCAGACAATATCTGCCATCCTCACAGTACCTCGTAGAATGAAGACTCTTAAAGCTTAATGATTGTCTAAAGGATTTACATATTTAGAAATGCTCAATTAACGAGATGCCCACACAATTAGAGTTGTTACCCAGTATCTAACCTTTTGATAGAAGTTGCTATCCAGGACAGCCTTTGACCCATCCATGGTTCTCCATGGCTGCTAGCCTCCTTCTTCTCTTCCTTTCTTTCTCCCCTTCCCTTTTTCTCTTTCTCCTCTGCCCTTTCCCTCTTTCTCCCCTCCCCTTCCTCTCTTCTTCTCCCAGCTCCACCTCCTCTTGTACTGCCTAATCACCAAGCTCCACTTCAAATACAGTGTAGCAGAATAAATACCCTGCTACATTCTACTACATGGTTTTTTAAACTTCCCCCTTTTTATTCTCCAATACTGTCTTTGGCTCGCAGTTTCCTCTGCCTTATGTGGTGGTAGGGGGGTTGAGAGAGTGTCTCCTGTAATTCACACTAGCCTCAAACCCCATGTAGCTGAAGCAGCTAACCTTGAACTCATGTCTCCACCTCCCGAGTTCTGAAACTACAGCTATGCAGCACCACACCTGCTGTCTGCTGGCTCTGTGCCTCGTTTCTCACCCCCTTCCACCCTTTTATTTAGAAATGGCCTCGGAAGTTGACGAACGAATTCCTGTGCATGAAGAATTCTTTCTCTGTGGTGGAGTTGAAACCCGGATCATAAAATGTGGGCCCTGGACTAACCTCTTTGATAAACAAGGTGTCAACAAGCCAAAACAGCTTATCTTCATCATTCCCGGTAAGTCGAAAAGTCACAGGCAGTCAAAACATTTCTCTTTAGCGTAACCTTTTCTGGAAGTAAACTTACAGTCTTGTTTGTTTGTTTGTTTGCTTGTTTGTTTTGTTTTTCGAGACAGGGTTTCTCTGTGTAGCCCTGGCTGTCCTGGAACTCACTCTGTAGACCAGGCTGGCCTTGAACTCTCGAACTCAGAGATCCGCCTGTCTCTGCCTCCTAAGTGCTGGGATTAAAGGCGTGTGCCACCACTGCCCGGTGGCACAGTCATTCTTAAGAGGGGAATTTGTTGCTTAAACTTAATGCAAATAAGTCCTTTTGGATTTGATAACTGTGATAAATTATAGGGCAGAGGTGGTGACTCAATCCAGCTGGATTTTGCAGTCACAACATGTGCATAACAAGAGGACCGCCACTTAAGCATCCAGTTTCTCAGGGAATGCGTGAGTGACTGAGAAGGGTTAAGAGGTCATGAACAGAGTAAGTCTTAAGGTCTGTGAAGTAGCTAAGTGAGGTAGGCAGCCCGCTGAACGCCGCCCCCGCCCCCCCACCCTCCTAGGGGGACTCATTGTTTCTTCTGTGTATTCAGCAAAAAGACAAAAAAATCCGCCTCTGCCATTGAAGTGCCTGAGGTGTTACAGAATACTAAGAGCTCTACTAAAAAGGTTCAAGGGGCAGAGAGCCCACTGGGAAGCCATGCTTCCTGTGTGCGGAGGAAGTAGAGGAAGCTGTTGGCGGGTGCACTGCAGACAGAGGGAGGTGTGACACATTCCTAGTTCCATGGTCCCTTTCCTTGTGGCACGAAGAGATTTTTCCAATGTGTCTATTCCTCTGTGGCCTCAGTCATTTTTGTCAGATTTCTGAGGCCTAGGCTTATTCCTCTCCTTTGTTGGTAGATTCCATTACCTTTCCTTTGGGACCTCATCTACATGAACTGTCGTGAAAGTTGGGGTGCGTGTTTACAAGTAGAGGCATCCAGAGTTCTGTGGCCTCTCCAGGAATGCTATCTTCAGCAGCCTCCTTGTGTTGCACTGTGTTGCTCTCTAAACACTGCCCATACGTGGTTGTATAGAACCTTCATTTTCAGGAAATGGTTGCTAAGAGGATGGGTAAAGAGGTCAGACCTGCCCAGTCCTCCGAGATAGGTGCAGTGAAATATGAAAACTGTGACAAGTGGATCCCAGAACCACACCAGCTGAGGGGAGAGAACCTTACGTACACAGAGGTAGATACATTTGGTAGAGAAATGGTGGGCATGATGGCGCATGACTCTGACCTCAGCACTTGGCAGGCTGAGGCAAGGGGATTGCTTTGAGTTTGAGGACAGCCCTCGATTCCTGGTAAGTACCAAGCCAAGATGTGCTAGAGTGTGAGAAACCAGGGGAAAGAGAAGATAAATACATAGACAAGTAGACATTAATGGAAAGAGACTAGCGTCACTAGGTGTAAAGACTGTGGCTAGATAGTAGGAAGTCTGAGTCAGTGTTTCATGTTCAGTATTAAAATTGTACCTATATTATGAAATGCACTCCTGACAAACTGACTCTGAGTATGTGACTCATTCAGCTTATAAACATAATAAGTAAAATCAATTTTTAAATGTTAAATGAATCCTGTCATCCTGCAATCAACTCTACTTAGTCATAATGTACTTTTTTAAACATCCTAACGGATCCAATTTGCTAGCCTTTAGATTCGAATTTTTCATGTGTGTTCATTAGACTACTGACTTGTAGTTCTGTTTTTCTAGAAGTTGCACCTGGTTTTGGTGTGAGGGTAATATAGGCCTCACAGAACGGGTTAATAACTATTTCTTCCTTGCATGTTATCTAGAAGAATACCTATGAACTTCATAGTATTTTTCCCCTTCAAATATTTGGCAGCATTTAACAGAGAAGCCATGTAGATCTGGATTTGTTCATGAGATCTTTAATCTTTAAGCCTGACTTTCTTTAGTTCATAGTGGGATCATTGAGATTATTGAATTCTTCTTGAATAAGATGTGGTGCTTCATATCTTTATAGGAAGTTGCCTATTTCGTGTATATTACTAGAATATTGTTTTCTAATTATTCTTTGAATATAAAAAAAATGAGTGAAACCTGATCATGCCTTAACTCTTAACTACCACCACCTGTGTTTCTTAGGCTAAAAGGCAGATTTCTTACTGCAGTCTTCAAGATGCTGACTATTTATTTCTCCTTCTCAACCCTGTGGCATCCAGGTTTCGGTATCCATGTGTTCCCTTGGTCATGGTGACATTGAATGTGACAGGAAGAGCCAAGAGCTGGGGACGTGCATAGCTTTAACAACTAAGCTCCTTATTTCTTCAATGCCTTTGTCTTACCTTCTGGGCCTCAGAAAAGTTACTTCCTCAGACCTTGGGTTTGCCGTTTGCTTTTTAAGTCATACTAATGCCTATCACAGCATCCTGTTTGTTTTGTCTATAGGAGTTATCCCACTCGTGAATCAGCTCACCTGGTTATATATGTGTATTCCCTCGTACTGTATAAACCCCATGGAACTCCTCATACGCCTGTGTATGGCATAGTGACTTCCAAACAGCGAGTTCCCGATGCAAATGTACTGCTTAAAATAATATACAGTGGAAGCTATACAACTAGAATAGAGAAACTGAGCGTACTGTAGTTGGCATTTTACTTGATAATAAATCATATATTAAAGAAGAATTAATTAATTAGGATCCTATAATCAATAAGAGGACGAACTTGAACTTACACCAAGACAGGAAGAAAAGGCCTTTCTATAGTGTTCCATTATCTTGTGCTCAAAGTGTTTTTGTACAACCTGTCATCGGAACCGTTGCACCTAAATCATTGTTTGTTTGTAATAATTCTAACAACTTCCATTTTGTAATGCTTACCTTCTATTGCTGTGATAAAACGCCATGGCCAAAAACAAACTGGGGAGGAAAGAGTTTATTTCATCTTGTAGCTTTATTGTCCATTATTCAGGGAAATTAGGGCAGGAACTCAAGGCAGAAACTAATGCAGGGGCATGGAGGAGAGCTGCTTACCGTCTTGCCCTGCTTTACTTGATCAGCCTGCTTCCTTATAGCACCCAGAATCCCCAGCCCAGGGATGCCACCACCCACAGGGAGCTGGCTACTCCCACATCAATTATCAATTAAGAAAATGCAGCACAGGTGTAACGGCCGTTCTGCTACTTTGTAACGCCTGTTCTGCTGCTCTGGTCCCCAGGTCAGGGTCTAGCAAGAGAGAGAGTGGGGATGGAAGGGCGAGAGATGCAAAAAATGGAGACAAGACAGAGTCTGATCAAGTCTCGTTTATTGAAAGGAAATCCTAGGTATTTATACCCTTTACCACGTGCCTTGCCCTTGTGGACAAGCTCAGCTGAAGGCACTACGTCATGCGCCTAGCAGCGCGGAGACCACGTGCACCTAGCTAGCAGTGTGGAGACCACGTGCGCCCAACTGCTGGCGGCACTAAACAGCAAAACAAGATGTTTATCAGAGTGTGCTCAGCTGTTGCGGGCTGTTGAAAACAAGTCTCTTGTCAGGTATATGGCTCGAGATGGCTGTAAAGATGATAGCCGCTTTCGGCTAAGAGTTGGGTCCCAACACACACGCTTGCCCACAGGCCCGTCTGGTGGGAGCATTTTCTCAGTTGCAATTCCCTCTTCCCAAATGACTTTACCTTGTGTCAGCAGTTACACAACCTGTTTGTTCTCACTGCTACATCAAATGAAGACTAAGTGAGTTAGAACGTGTAACACACTAACTTCAGGTAAGATCTCACTGTGTTCAGAGGGTTAGCAAGTGATACTTCTAGCATATGTTGATTAGGTGGTATAAAAATGTGATTTTGGGATAGAACACACTCCAGGGAGGTTACAGTCAGTAAATTCTTTGTAAAGTAATATGTAAGCTAGGCAGTGGTGGCACGCACCTTTAGTCCCAGCACTAGAGAAGCAGAGGCCAACAGATCTCTGTGAATTTTAAAGTGGAACTAAAGTTTGAGACTAGCCTAGAAAGTTTTAAATAAAGAGAAAAAGATGTATGTGTTAGTACATTTAGTACTAATAGGTTAGTATGGTGTGTGTGTGTGTGTGTGTGTGTGTGTGAAGGTATATAAGATGGAATGTTTTAGCAAAGGACAAAATAAATAAATTGAATTATTTGATTCCAAAACAAGTTCCTGTAGAAGCTGAGTGTTGGCTCAGAAGATGCTCCAGATGAGTGGGGGATGTGTTAGAGTTACTGATCTTATGAAACTGGCTCTTGAATGGGAAGATGTTGTGTGCTGTTTTCTGCTTAATGCTCAACAGCATCCCCATTCCAAAGGTTTTCATTTATAAAAATGAGGCAGACACTCACAGACAGCGAGAGTGCCCACCTTCGGTTGATAGCCCTTGTCTCCCTTCCCTCATCTGCAACTGCACAGTGGCCAGCAAGCTAACCAAAGAGTAACCGTTATGTAGCAAAGATGGTCAGAACTTAAAGCTTTCGGTCAGAATACTGTAGGAACATGATAACAGTATGAACAATGAGACAATTACAGAGTACCATGATTGCAGAAGGCTGTACAAGTGGAATAGTTAACACCTACATAGCTATTACCGTGTCTCAAGCAATATTAAAATATGTCACACATCTATAAATGCTCTTAGCATCATGTACATGTGTACATTATCCCATTTCATGGATGAAAAGTCAAAGCATAGAGCGAGTAAAAAAATTCCAAAGCTTACAATCCATAGGGGAAGCCAGGCTGCAGCCCAGGCCGCCTGCAAGATACGAACACCATGTGTGGATGCCAGTCAGGATTCATATGCCATTGTCACAGACCGTGTTCAGCTAAAGTAGAGAAAACCTGACAGAGTGAAGAAATAAAGAGGCATCTGTGGCAAGGACTACAGACAATGAAGAATGTGTACAGATGATGATTACAGGCTAGACACCCCTACTTCATTGTCTTTCACCCTGCAGCTGTATCGTATTCATTATTCTGTTTCTCTGTACCTATGTCAAAAATACATTTATATACATACAATAAATTACATGGAGTGTCTGTTTCAGTCAGTGATCATACACACACGTACATACTACAGATACTTGTGGCAAATGACAAGATAACACTGGGTAGACTTAAGTTTTCTAAGGTTTGACTGGCATGGGTTTATTGGTTAGTTTTGTTGTTTTGCTTTAGTTTTACTTTGGTACAGCTTAATAACTGAGATGATCTTAAAATGCCATAAGATCTGATCTTGAAATGCCATAAAGACAGTATTAGTGGTTTGGGGTTTTATCCAGGTAACAGTGGGAAGCCACATAAGGGTGATTTAAAAAGATATTTCTGTGCTTTGATTTGTGGCTTGAAGATCTTTCTTGTGATACCTAAGTGTCAGTGTGAATGTTTGCTAGATTTATAGAAAATGGTGTGAGAAAACTCTGAGCCACCTTTCCTGGCCTATACATCAACTTGCATAGGTCTGTTGCTCTTTCAAATCTAGTCTTTTCTTTTCCTAGGTAACCCAGGCCATTCCCCCTTCTATGAGCCATTTGCAAAGGCCTTGTACTCTCTGATGAAGAGCCGCTTCCCAGTATGGATAATCTCTCATGCTGGCTGTTCCTTCATTCCCAAAGACAAGAAGATTCTTACAGCACCGCAGGGTATGTCCTTGTTAACACCTTTAAGATTCACACTCAACAGGTACTCAAGTTTCTAGAAAGTCTGTTAGCATTCACAGTTCACAAGTGCAAGTCCCTGCTGTGACTTAAGACCCCAGGGGCACATTTTTATAATTTTGAGAAGGGAGAGCTGAGCTTCTGTGTGGTGATGTGCTAGAGGGTTTGGTAGGGAAAGGGTGGCTGCAAGTATTTGCATTTTACCCATGAGAATTCTCAGATGTCTACTTTCCTAAAGTGTTTTTTAAGTGAGAGAATACATAATTTAAACTCCCTATAGATGTCAAGCTTAGCTCTTTCCCGGTGGTTGTTTGAGGGAGGTAGGGGCTTTATTGCTTGCTTCGCTCCTGGTTCTTACAGGCCACGCTTTCTGATCTAAAGATAAGTAACATTTTACCTTTGTAGTCTTTATGATTATATATTCCTGATTCTCTTAGACATTAATATACAGATTTCAACACACAAACCTGTACTTTATGAATGATCTTAGATGATATTCAAGGCTAGTTTTGGTTAATTTATTTTTAACTGTACTCTGGCCACTCACCATCATGTCAGATGTAATTGTTTTCTGTTTTAAAATGATTGTGGTTATGATTATGTATATGAACTCTTTTGAATACTCTCTGAACATTAGTGTATTCATGTAGATAAATAACACCAATTTATCTTGTTCATAACTTTACAGTTTACAGATGATCTCTTAGTTCCAGTGACTAATGCATGATTTTATTCATTTTTTTAAAATAATATTTTTCAAATTAAAATGATATGTACCTGTTAGGTAAAATTTAAACAATACGGAAGCTAAATAAAATGTTTAAAATTGCTGCTTTATAATTTAAAATTGGAAAAGAATATTATAAATTATACTTTGATTTAATTATGATCAAAAATTGTTAACTTCAAAACAAGTAAACATTGGCATATTACCTCTGAGAGGAGAGATTCTCTAGTACTTTAATGCTGAATACAGAAGCCCAGGAATCTTACGCAAATTGAATTAAGCCTGTGAGAACTGTCTCATTCATGGTGGGTTTATCTTCTGTAGGTTTTGGGGTTTGTTTGTTCTGTTTTGTTTTGTTTGCCCTTTGTAAAGATGTAATGAGGAACTGTGTGTCTTAGACCTGACTAATATACTTACTTTTTTCATAAAGGTACTGCTGAACATTTATTTACTGCTGATTACTGTTCAGAAATTTTAGCTGGCAAACATTATACATGAGGAAAGAATCTAATGCAAAATTCTTCCAAAATAAGTAGTAGACTTCTAGTTTCATCTCTGACTTGTAGAATTTGGAATCTACCACTCCTGTCCTCCCAACCAGGAAAACAAAACAAAACAAAACAAAACAAAACAAAACAAAACAAAACTGAACAAACTGAAAACCAGTAATTTTTCTTAGGTGTGTCAGGCACTCAAGAAAACAGGGCTAGGGCGTGTACAACTGGGACCAGTGGCACCGATGTGAGAGAGCAGCTCACTTGGAAGAACTTAGGCAAGCCTTAGCCAGTAGAACACACAGAGGTGCAGTGCAGACATTTGAGAGTGAAGTGGAAATTCTCAGGGGCTTCCCAGGCTCCCGTGAGTATTCCCTCCAGAACTCCCACTTCAGTTCTTTGGCAGTATTAGGACTTTGGTTTTAGTTTTGTTCCTTGTTTTTTTATTTTGTTCTCTCTCTCTCTTTTTTTTTTTAAGATTTATTATTTTATGTGTGTGGTGTTTTGCTTGCATGTATGTATGTACACCATGAATGTGCTTGGTGCCTAAGGAGGTCAGATCAGAAATACAGATTGGTTGTGACCCACCATGTGGGTACTGGAAATTGAACCCAGGTCCTCTGCAAGAACAACAAGTGCTCTTAACTTCTGAGCCATCTCTCCAGCTTTGCTTGTTTATGTTTTAAGACAGGACCTCACTAAATAACTCAAGATGTCTTTAAACTTGCAATTCTTCTGCCTCTCTCTCTCTCTAGTGGTGGGATTGTAGGAATATGCCAATGCCCAATTACCATTTAGATTTTAAATGTCCCCAAAATGTTTTTCCACTGAGGGAGTGGTCTCCAGGGAACAGTTTTCAAACATACATTAGATTCCTTGATAGATGTATGCCAGGAGGACTCTGACCTCATGAACGAAGTACTCCATTTAGGGATTCATAATGTAATTGAATCCTGAGAGGTGATAAACCTTTTTTTGGACTAAGTAGTTTAGTTCATTGGGGTCATGACCTCGGAGGATATTTTTTTTCCTTGTCCTCTTCCTTTCTCTTTTTCCTTCCTAGTCCCCAGAAAGCCAGCAGCTTTGTCCTACTGCTCATTGCCGAGATGATCTGTTTCCCAATACTCAAAACAACAGGGCCAGACAGCTGTGGGTTGAGACCTCTAAAACCATGAGCCAATCTCTGTGGTACTTTATCATGGCAGTAAAGCTGACACAGTGATTATCTGAGAATATCTTCCAAGATCTTCTTGAGGTAGGAATAGGAGGGGGGATTGTTTGCATCATTCCCAAAGAATTCTCAGTAGCATAAGCCTACTCTCCAAGGGATGAGACCCTGCCAGACCTTGTCTAACCCAAGGGAAGGGCCTCCTAGCCTTCTTGCCTCACATAGAGAAGGAAAATGATCTGAAAAGCATTTGTTATGATCACAGCACAGAATCTCAGGCCCCATATATTGTATATTAACTATACAATTGTAGAATGCTTCTTCCCCCAGCCCCATATTTTACACTATGTAATAGGCTTTGTGTAAAACAAAGGTGTGCGTGCGCACTGCAAGTTACAGGATCTATTAAGGAGGTCTTCCGGGAAACCAACAGCAGGAAGGGTGAACAAACAATGGCATGGATGAAATCAGAGCCTCTAATAAATATTAAACGTAGCTCAGTTCCTGGCCACCTTAATATAAAGCTAGATGCCAAGAATCTATTTGTTCACTTCAGTTCCTAGTACTGGTACATCATGTCCAACTTTAGTCAGAAAAGTTACAAGGCTTTGTAAAAGGCAAGAGAAAAACAATAAGACTGAACAACAAATTGCGAACCATAACCAAATTCAGATGTGCCTGTTGCCAACATTAAGCTTATCAGATAGAATGGTCAAAATAACTATGACAATTAATATATTGAGACTAATGAAAACATAGTAATTCGAGTTGACAGTTGGATACTTTTTAAGAAAGAACAAAAATAAAGTAGTAGAAGATACTGCAACAAAGATGAAAAATGGCTTTCATGGGCTTGCTATTAGGCCCAGTGCAGCTAAGGAAAAGATCCATAAAAATGAAAATAGATCAAGTAGAAACTTTCCAAACAGAAAAAAATGATGTTCTTAAAGAACAGGATATCCAAGAACTATGGGCAGTTTCAAAGATGCAACATCTGCATAATTACAATACCAGAAGATGGAGAGGATGGAGGTAAAGGAGAGAGTGGAGAGGATGGAGAGGATGGAGGTAAAGGAGGGAGCGAAGAGGATGGAGAGGATTGAGGGAGCAGAGGGTGTAGAGAGCGGAGCCAAAGTAATGGAAGCATTTCACTCACATAATAAAACTCAGATGCAGGAAGCCTGGAGAACTGTAAGCAGGATAAATCCTCAAAAATCTTTGCCTGTGTGTCACATATTGAAATTACAGGAAACCAATAGAACCCTTGAAAGACAACAATGAAATTTCCTATAACCCACCTGTCACATACAAAAGAGGAGAATAAAGTAAAATATTTAGTTTGGGAAGAAAAATATCATCAAACCAGAATTTTGTTTGGAATAATAAATTATTTTTAATAAATTATTTTTGGAAAGGAAAGAAAGTGGAAAGTAAAGGAAAGAAAGTAATAACTTTCTAGACAAAAGCAGAGGAGACTGATTGCTTTAGTTCTACCTTACAAGAAAAGTGAGGTAGAGATAGAAACTCAAATCTGTAACAAGAAAGGAAAAGCATCGGTTAGAAAGATGGCTGATCAGTTAAGACCCGCTGTTCTTTAGAGACCACAGCTCAGTTCCTAGTACTCATATCCATTGGGTCATAACCACCTGGAACTCTGCCTCCAGAGGACCCAACGCCTTTTGTGACCTCTGTGGGGACACACACACACACACACACACACACACAAATAAAAATATAAAAAAGGAAAGCAAAGAGGAAATAAGTAAGTTTTTAAGTTCCTTATTCTAAATAACTGCTGGATTAGAAAGCGATGATAGTGTACAGGTAAGTGGAATGAATGTTGACACTGGCATAAAGGATGAAGGAGAACAATTAAGATCATTGTTAGGTAACAAAACTAAAGGTAAAGTGATACATTGTTACTTACATTTGTCTTACATTAAGTACTGCAAATTCTAGGGCAACCACTAAAAATAATGATGATGATGATAATAATAGTAATAAATTTTTTAAATTAAAGAAATATAATGACCATGATATGACAAAGAGAATGGAATGATTAAATATACTCAACTAAGACCAAAAAAAGTAGAAAAAAGAAAAGCAAGGAAAAAAAAGGTATCAAAGCAGAATGCACTTAGTTGAGATAAAAGGGAGGCTAAGCAATTAAGAGGACTTTTCTTTCAGAGGACCCAAATTGGGCAGCTCACAATCTCCTGTAACTCCAGCTCCAGGGAATCCAGGACAGTTTTCTGGTCTCCCCAGGCACATGCCCTCACATGCACATACCTATACAAAGGCATTCATATATATATGTATGTATGTATGTATGTATGTATGTATGTATATATATATAATTAAAAATCAAATAAAAAATTTTAAAATTTAAAATTGTATATGATCATTTATCTAATTGTATTAGTAATAAGTTTGAATATGAATACTTTAAAGGATAGTCTCTCAGAGTAGATAAAAATAAGATCCAACAATCTGCTGTCTACAAGAAACTCTTTAAAGAACAGACTAGTGGCTCCTTAGTGAAAACTAGTTATTATCCATTCCCTTTGCTCAAACTTCTGAGTCATGAGCAGCCATC